AGGAACGCAGGGCAATCAACAAAGGGATACACGCAAGGCACCGAAAGTCATGGAGAGCTATGGATGAAGAAACCTGCATTACGATATCTACGGCGATCTCCCCGCATAATCCATAGCTTGCGTCCACCGATTAGCATGAATGTGAGCTTCCACGCCCACACTTTCCACCTCAGCGCGCAAGCTCTCGCATCGGGATTTCAAAGCTTCGTCGGCAGACCAATGGCAAGACATGCGTATTTCTTTGAGGCAAGGCAACTGCTCGTCCTTTTTCTCAGCAAAGCCGTGAAACATGGTTTCGAGGGTTTGCTTGTGCTGTTGCGGCCTGCCCTCAAAAACTTGAACCCCGTCGATTGTCTCTGACAAGGCCGTGGAGTTGGTGTCATCGTCATGGCTTTTCCACTCTTCTGATGTTAGGAACAACCGAGTGACCGAAGCGGGGACTAGGCCACACATCAAGAGATTGACATGAGACTGATCTGCAAGATCCGTTCCGAGGTGGGCAGCGGATCTGATGACGCAGGTCGCAAGGTCAAGAGGGATCTCTAACTTGTGCAGACGCGGGAAGTCGCGCATGGTCGCTGTTCCAAGCGCGATCTTGCCGCTAAATTCGCGCTTTGTGATAGACAGCTCTTCGAGATAGCTGCCAGCTTCCTTGCCGATAGTCGTAACGAGGTCGCAAATGTCCCAAACTCGACTGAGTTGCTTGTCAGAGTGGGAGTAAACGAGCGTTTTCAGGCGCGGCGTGTAGCGCAGGAAGTGTTGCATAGTGGGACCATCAAGGTTGCAGCCGCGCAGATAGGCTACTTCCAGTGTTCCGCCCACAGGGGGCGGGATTGGTTGACATGGAGAAGAGGGCTCGCGAGCTTCAATGTCGGATATGGAGGTGGGGCCGTGGAACGTGTGGATGCGTGGAAGGGCCAGGAGCGGAGTAATCTTGTTCAGGACAAGACCTTGCCGCATTGCATATGAGAACCCATTCTTCAGAGTAGTAACTAGAGCGAGACTGGCATTGGTCGAAGTGGCGTTGGGTTGACGCGCATGGTGGACGATGGCTTCAAAGAGCTTATCGGTTTCTTTGTCTTGTGTCCAGCGAAAGGGAAGAACCACGGTCTTAACGTTGGGCAGCAGTGTTAGAAGAAACGACGAGGCAGCCTGAGTATATTGGTTGTCTTCCAGACCTCGTTCATACTTTTCGAAGTAGTCCTGCCACTCGTTGCCTGACAAGTACTTCGAACTGGCGAATAAGTCGCGAACGGTCTCAGGACGATAGCCATCCCTTTCCATGATCCAGAGGCGTCCGCCGACCGGTAGCCGAAGGTCCGCCTTGAAATCTGCATGCTCGATGTAGCGCGCAACAACTGGCTCTTCAGCGATTCGGGCTATGAGTTCAAACGGCGTCCTGATGGTGAGGGAAGGGTATTTGTCCTTGAGAAGATAATCGAAGTTGCGAAAGTGCGAGCGGAGTTCGTTGTGGTGCTTGAGCAAGGGCTTGCAAAGCGTGTGGAACTTGCGGCAGGACAGACATAGGCTCTCGAAACCCTCTGGAATCGTATGGTCGACGATGAGCGCGAGGAGTTCGTCGGCTAATTCCAGTAAAGCCATAGCGACGTTGTAGACGACTTCGTGAGAAGAAGAGCCCTGAAAACAATGGTACATGCAACGTCTAGTTACGAGGAGAATGCGATTTTGACTCAGCTTGGGGTCTGATTTTGGCCCGAGCTGACCATTGAAGGTGTACTCTTGAGGGACGCAGTATGATTACAATAGCCTTGGGGTAAGTCTAGTTAGGCGCACAGTATCAGGCGAGAGATTTGGGGTCCGCGATATGTATAGCAGACGTTGTCTCGGGCTGACGTCATGCCCCTGGGACAGACCCTGTTGAAGACTTTAGCGACTAAGGAAGGGAGGCCATTGGACGGCCCTGCCCAGGCTTACCACCTCGCCAAGCCGGCCTCGCCCTATGCTTCAGGTTTCTTATGAACCGACTCCTACTCCTCCCCAAACCAACTTCACGGAGAAGAAAAAGCGCCTTTGACTCAGACGGGGCGTTCACAATCCTGCTTTGCGACTTACAGTGATTCAGACTGGGGCCTTGTCTCTCCCTCAACCGATTCCTCTTCTCCACCATCGCTTCATCTTCGCCCCCGAAATACACAACTTTCCACTGTCTTCGTCATATCTCCTTCGTATTCGTATTTTGATCACCAGCTTCTTCTAAGCAAAAGCCTCCATTGCAACAAGATGGGGCGGCCGTCTGCCCGCACCATGCGAGCCATGAGGAAGTCATTCTCGGAGATGCTATTTCCAGCATTCAATCTCAGCATGAGGGGGCTCAATGCGATCGTCAGTATTGATACTTACCACTATATCAAGGCTATAAAGAGGGCATGTTTTGCCTCTCTTTTCAACACAAGTCATCACAGCCAGTTTCCCACTGCTTCATCATCACTTCCATCATCGTATTCTTCTACTTCCTTTACCCGCTATCAATTTCCCTACTCTTCGCAATGCGCGCCAAGCGATCCTCTGCGATGCGATTTCTACTATGTTCTTCAGTTGTCCTTACAGCGTCTGCAGCTGTGATCCGCACGCCTCTGCAACGGCGCCTAGAGGAATGCCAGCTAGACATCCAAGATGGGATGGCCGACGATCCCGACAGAGTCAATACGGACGGGACGGCCGGGATTGGTGCCGAATTTGAGAGTCCGGACTTCCGCCTTACAAAGTCGGGATGTAGCGCAGACGATACAAACGCCGCAAAGAGAAAGGTCATTGCCGAACGAACAGGCACGAACTGGGAGCTCACTGCAGACTCTGTCAACGAACCTGGAGCACTCCAGGCTGAGTACATCATTGATGGTGTCAAGGTCAAAGTAGGCAGCACAGATGATGCGACCAACGGCGCGAAGGTCGCGGCAGCTATGGCTCAGGATCTCGTAGGCGCCGCCCAGCAGACCCGTGATGAATCTTGCTAACTACTTCAGATTGACTGGTACCCATGGAACGGAAAACTTGACTCAAAGGCACGACTGGTCGACGTAGCCGACAACAACTGCAACCAGTGGAAGATCATCACCCGCCAAGATAGGAAACCAGAGAAGATATCTTACCAGCCCCAAATCACCACGCCGATGCCATTAGAGGCACTGTACAGCCTGATGAAGGAACAATTCGATGAGAGCGATCCAAATATCCTCAATGGGCTCGATCGTTTCCAAAACAAGAAGCTTGATTTCGTGACGAAGAATCACTTCCAGTCCAGCCCAGGCGGCATCGGTCCGGAAGCGGCCACGGATGACGTGCTGGCCTTTTGCACCCTGGTCTTATCGTACGCCAAAAACGCAAAGGATCCTCTCCAACCGGGTTCAAGTCCCAAGATTTTCACATCGTTCACGCCTCGAACGAATTTTAACGTGATGCTGTCGCATGTCAGCTCCAAGTTGGCATCAAAGGGGGACAAACTTTGGGATTTGTTCAACATCCTTGCGTGCTACCAGAGTGGCGGAACCGAGTAAGTTATGGCTGACCTATAGATGGTTTGACCAGTCTAACCAAACGTAGAATTGATACAGACGTATGTGGAGGTACCCCCGAAAGTCCCGAGCCTACCGACAACAAATTTGGCGGCTACACTTTTGCTCAAGGCGATACCAAATGCAACATCCGTGACTGGATCCATGGTCTAGACCCAGAATCAGATGAAAACGATAAGCTCACCGAGTTCGACAAGGAAATCGACGGGTCTATTGGAAGACTAGGCAAAACTCAAGAAAAGATGTTCAATTCTGAGCGCTCTGTGCCTCTCTTCGAATTCCGCGATCTCAATACCCTCCAGACTGAAGGAATGGAGAAATTCATGGGCGACGTAGATCAGGCCATCCAAGACCTCCACAATAAGTTTCGAGAATCACCTACAAAGAAAGCCAGGCGTGGCGTCTGCGATGATTTCGAGCCAGAGCCGGAACAAGAGCCAGAGCCGACTGGCCCAACCAAGCAGCTCGCAGTGCTCGGTGCCTATGTTCCAGGCGCCCCCACGATGGACTGGCTCTTCCTCGAAGCCGACTATGAGCAGGGTGTCGAGTGCCGCGAAGACTTCCTCCGGCCCTTTGAGACTGTACCGTGGGATGAGTCTGGCACAACGTACCCTGGCGGCACCAAAGAGCTCGATCTCGAGATTGACGGAGAGGTGTGCGAGTACCGCAACGACGGCGACGACCCGGGAGCGCTCTGGTGTGGCGAGAGGGTCATTGGCTGCGTGAACGACCCGGCCGACAAGGATCCCAACGATGTGAACGCGGAGAAGGGCGAGTACCAGTGCGGCGATTACACGCGACAGCCTGTGTTTGTCTGCCCTTGGTAGTTGCGCATTACATGATGTTGTTCGGTGTTTCTAGATTGTTCCGCACACGAGGGATTGGGAGGCGTTCTTGGGTCTTTTGTACGGTAATTTTGTCGCTCTCTTCGTGTTTGTGTTGTTGTCAGCGTTTCGGTGGCTCAGGTGGTGCGGGATCGGGGTCTGTGCTCAACGCTAGATTCCGGCGGCGGAAGATGGAACTCAACACCATCGTGTCGGCACCACCTCACCTATCTTGTAGAATTATGTAGAACGAAAGTTTAGTTACTATAAATGCTTTTTGAACCCTCGATCTGACTTACCTCGTGCACATCGCGTCGTTCTGTCCTCTCAGCATCGCGACAACGACGACACCGCGGTCGCCACCTGCGCATCGTCGACACGCGACTCACAGCTTCCGGAATCCTACCACACCATTACAGCCAAGTCTTCTCGGACGGGAAGCATTGGTGCCGCTCGGCATGGTTATGCAAGCTGTTCGCAAGGCTGAGAACGCCACGACCCTTATTTCCTGCACAGCCCACATCACCTCGGCAGCCTTGGACGTCAACAAAACCTCGTCTACCTAGACTGTAGCAACATCACGCAAACTTCCTCTCCACTACCAGATCGATGCCCAAATGATCAAGGCTTACTACCACACACCATGAGCGGACGCGAACTATTACTGCGTCTATTCCAGCCGTCAAAGAAGCCTGCAATCTACGAGCACCAGCCGCTCTCTCGCTCCCTAGACGAAATACGCCTACTAAGACTCCGCAAAGACAAGAACGGCCCCGTACATTGCGAAACCAAAGTCATTCCGCTCGAGCAGGCCCCGGAATACATTGCGCTATCTTACCGATGGGGCCCACCGTCACCTCTGCACGACATCTTCATCGGCGACCAAACGCTCAAGATCCGAGACATCCTCAACTCATGCTTACTGGAGCTAAGAGAAGAGCTGGATACATGGCTATGGATCGATCAAATCTGCATCGCTCAGGCGGATACCAGTGAGCGAAACCATCAGGTCATGATGATGTCACGTATATACAGCAACAGCGCCTCGGTCATCATCTGGCTGGGCGACGTACCCCTAGCGCCTTCGTGGAAGACTGATCGTTTCAATGACCAAGATCTTGATGGTGCGTCAGTCAAGGTCTTGCTGGGAAATGTTTACTTTACAAGACTATGGATAGTCCAAGAAGTAATGCTTGCGAGAAATGTGAGGTTGCATCTCAACGGCAATCGTCGCGTCGACTGGAGCACACTGCGTGATGCATACTTCAACGCAGTCTGGGAATTGCAAGAATCTGCTCCAATACCTATCGCGTCCATGTATCTCGTAAGCTACACAAGGCGCTACACAAGGCGTGGTCGGGCCATGAGGCGACAAATGATCTGGCCCCAATGTATTGATGGCTTCTCCGCAAACGCATGTGAAGACCCTCGAGACAAGGTGTATGGTATGATGGGTATCATGAAGGAGGAAGAACAGCTTACCGTGGACTACGACAAGAGTGTCCTTGAAGTATATCTGGACGTGGTGAATATCCTTAGAATCTCAATGGGGAAAGCATCTCCTCATGTCATGAGGAATTACCTCTGCGTATTAGGATCCCAGATGGGTATGCCACTGTCCCTGGCAAAAAGCATACAGCCTCTCTTCTATGGTCGCGCTACAACTTGGTCCTGGGAGCCGGTATCGCCCGTGGATCCGAAGACAGCCAAATTCCCTCAGGAGCAGGGAGGTTGGTGGTACGAGTGGCTCGGGGAAGACTGTCGTTACCCTGGCCTACCAAATACAAGGATACCTTCGGTCCCGTCGTTCACCCCAGCGCAACTACTCCTTCCCAGGCCAAGAGTCTCTAAAGATTGGAAGAGCTGTCATACCAGGGGATCAGATGGCGACCAATGCAGAGACGATAGTTGGCACCTGTGGAAACAGGGTATCGCTAGCGAGACACGTGATGACCACTTTGAATAAACCCTGGCAAACCGCCGTTTCCATCGCATCGACTTCTCGATGTACACATCTGGATGTCCTTGCCAAAATACTTTGGGCTCAAGCCCGAAGCACAGGAAAAACAACATCGGAGAGCCTGCATATGAAGATCAACTTGGGCGAGAACAGAGGTGTTAGTGGTAGCCAGCGGAATTACAAGACTTATAAGATTATTGCTGCCCATGCGTTAGTGCTCTCTGCCAAGATGTTGCGCATAGCCACGGTTTGCCGCGAGCAGTTCGTGTAGCTTTGTTGCGCGGCACACTGTGACGCATAGCAGCGCAAAGTCAGCACCTATAGACGAGCATCCTCAAGACTATGAGACCAAGAAGTGTCAGTGTCCGGCCTCGGGTCGACTTGCTGTTAACAAGACCCGAGAGGAGCAGGATGCATGCTGATGATATAGTAGTAGGGTCAGTACATTCTTGCCAACAGACAACAGCACTACATGAATCACTCAAAGCACGTCATCACGTCGTCGATTGCATGAACGGAAAAACAAACTTCTTCCTCAAGCGACTGGCAAGCCAGAAGTCTCAATGAAAAAGTGGTCGCGTCAGCCAGAGATAGTGCGATACTGGCGACACTGTGGTCCGGAGTATGAGCAAGCCCAGGGACCCAAGACCTGAGTACAAAAATAAGAATAATCTTGAAGTCACCGTAGTGACCTAGAGAATGTTAGCGCGATGCCGAAAAGGGTAATAGGTGAGAGAAGACTTACGTTTCAGAGATTAAACTGAAAAGAACAGATACTACACTTGATCTGAAGCGGGTGAGTCAGCAAAGGCGTTGCATAAGGTTGTGGAAGGGGGACGTACCTAAGCCAAAAGGCAAAGAGAGCTAAGGAGGGAAGAAGGGGACGGGCTGCGCGAGGTTGATATGGGCGCTGGGGGCTTGGCGCGCTAACGGTCACATGATCGCTTGCTAGCGCTACAAGCTGCGCTTTGGCCCTGTGAAGGTGGGTGACCATGGACCCTGCACCGACGTTCTGCCGGCCAGGCACAGCGGCAATGACGACCATTCGAAAACCTTAGCGTCAGATCCGCTGTCTTGACAGCTTACAAGATTGCTTTGATCCCAGTCGTGGTCCTTCAACAGCGCCGCCCACCACTGCTTCCGAGCTGTCCACGCCGCTCCAAGGGTTAGAAACACCCTCGCATTCCAACGAGAACTCGGGAACCTGCAACGATCGTCCAGCGGGTATCCTCAAACACCAGGTTGACTGCTGCGTGTCACCGTTGCAAGTTCGTACCACCGCTCCTGATTGGTACACGTCTCTGCTTATATACATCATGCGGGAAGCTGAACGTGTCAATGGCCAAGCATTTTGCGCGCAAAGCCCCATGGCTGAGAGTTTGCGCAACATTGCGCGTTCAAGGTAGGTGCTTGGACGTCTCGGCACATTTCTGGAAGTAATGCTCGCCTGATCAATACAGGTGTGGCCTTCTCGTCGACTTCAGGGCCTAAGATATCCGCGACTCCAACATATCGTCAACATGGAAACCTTGTTCGATACATTTGACTTCCCGCGCAGCTCTACCGACGCGATAGCCCCTCCAGCTCCTGACTATTCGAAGACCAGACCCTCAAACTCGACCCTCTTCCGTTCCGGAGGTACACACTGGCGATGCGCGCACTGCGTAGAAAGCGTACTATACTCGCTTGCTAACGGGCACGTCGAACATGTGCGCATGTGGACATGTTGTCAATGCGGCTTCGCTGAGAACCGTGTTGCACTATGGGCTGCATGCTCCATGTGCGACGCCACCAGCTTTCTTGACAATTACGCCTGTCACTACCCTTCCGTCCTGGATATTGCAACGGACGGCGCAATGAATGATATCGTGACCTACGAGGCTTCATACATGACTCGTGTACATGTGCCAAAGATGGAGAGCTCCCTAGAACTACGTGCAACGGATGACTTGGTCTCTGCGGTTCAGCAGAACTTATCGTCATTTGCATCATTCTACGATGGCTGCCAGGAGCTGGAAGCTGTACAGGTGTTTGACAGTCACGATGACACGAGAACGCTGATGTCGATCGATGGTGAGACAGTGCCTGGCCTCGGGGTTGATAGAGCGGACCTGGCTCATGGACGTCACATCAACTTGCCGGCAATATGTGGTATTGACGACCCTTTCACCGCGAATTCCCGCAACGATGCCGAAATTAAAACGACCAGTTCATGCGGCGCGTCATCATCAATAACCTCGGCCCTAACGAAGACGAGTTTGACGTCATCCACACTCACCACTGTGACACAGCAAGACCTCGACAGCGGCTACGGCTCTCAAAGCAAGACTCCTAGCGTAGACAAAGCGTCACGCAAACGCGCAAACGAAGCCGACTGCCAGATACCGCCCAAATTAGACACCATTACCAACGATACGAACCCACCGTCCCGCAAAAAGCCCCGACGCCGTCGTTGCGATACCACCAACCCCGGTCTCGCTTGCCCTTTCTACGTACGCAACCCACAACGCTGTGAAACCGACTCTTGCGTCGGGCCAGGCTTCCTCGGCATCCACAGACTCAAACAACATCTGGAACGTGTGCACCTATACTATACATGTGAACGATGCGGAGCCAAATTCCAGGGAAACGCAACAGGGAAACAAGACCTAGCCATGCATCAGCGCAATATCCAGCCATGCCAGCTTCAGGAAAAGCCAAGCCCAGAGATGTCGACTCTAAGCCATGCGACACTCGAAGTGATGCGGTCCAAGAAAGGTGCAGCGGGGAAGTCGGAAGAGGAGCGATGGCGTGAGATCTACCGGCTCATATTCGCAGACGCTCATGATAAGGAGCTGAGAAGAGCTTGTGAGTTTCATGTCACTTAATTATTGTATCGGCCTACTAACCGTGATTGGATGTCGGCACGCAAAGCGCAGTACCGGGATATCCAGATCGCGATCATAGGTTATCGCAATGCGAAGAGTTGCACAACACCTCTCGACAACTGCTTCGCGAGTTACCCGAAAGATTGGACGCATCCATCAAGAGCCGCTTGCACGATGACAGGCTAGCCGCTATATGGCGTGAATTTGCGGATGACCAATTACACGACTTGATAGAAACTATTCTTGCCGACTTGTCTTCCCCAGGCCACACGATAAATCGCGATAGAGCGTGTGACAAGACTGATGATCTGTCTTGGTTTGATTTGGTAGACTACAACAAACTGTAACGAGCATCACACTTGGCCCGCTACGATTTGGTAATTCGACCCTGCCAATTTTCCGAATTTCCTCTCCCAAATTCCTTTGGCGAAGGCGTAAAGTCTATCAAGCCTACACTGCATCATCCACCGACATCCAGTTTTCTCGAGGTTGAAACTCAGTGGCGTATTGGCGTCGCACCCGTGATCAAAGACATCATTGTAAAGGTCTTTACCCTCCCTGCTAAACGCAAGACGTAGCCTTTGCTGGAAGGCTGCAGCATAGAGGGTTTTGTAATCCTCATTGTGGTGGCATTGTGTCCCCAAAAGCCTCCTGAGTTCCACTTCGTATCGCTCCTTCTCACACGAGATAGCCTTTTCCCACGCATCTGGGTCCGATGTAGTAGTCCTGGTGATGACACCATGCTCAGCCTTGACCAAATTTGCGCGTATGCCTTCCTCTGCAATCTCGTAAAAAGATGGACCTGAATCCTGGTGCCGCCGTAAATATCTCTCCTCCATGAACAGTGCATCCATCAAGGCTTTCCAGTCGCATGTAACTCGGCAGCTGAAACGCCCGTCTTGCTCTTGTGCAGGAAACTTAAGGTCGAAAGCACGCGTCTCCGCACTACCGACGAAAGTATACCGTCCATCCGGCGCGTCAAACCAGATGGCCTGTACAAGTTCTTCAAAGCCATAGCCAGCTGTCCACATAGCTACGTCACCGTACGCTTTGATCCATGTGGCATCGTGCTCCAACCTCTCACATGAGGCAGTATCTTGCCATAGGGTGGACAGTTCCTCCGGACGCGGCTGGCCTGGACGCAGAAGGAGAGAAAGCGTTGAAGATTTTGGGTCGATGGAATGTTCGTCTGTGGTAGCGATGAGGTTTTTCTCTATCCGACCAAATTGAATGTGGGTCCACTCGATGTGAAGGATGGGAAGAAAGGTCGCTCGAAATACGCGCTCGGCCTCTTTTCTCCAGGCTTGCGATACTTGACGGCATGTAACCCAGAGCACGAATGGGTCGTCGACGCTTTGGAGGACTTGGATGAACAACTCGTCCGGCAGGTGGGGTAGGCAGGTGCTGGCCATCTTTGACCTGGTTGCAATAAAAGAAAGATATTGCTGCGAGTCGATTTCGAGTTTCCAAGGTGGACATCGCGTGAGCTTTAACGCGCCATACTCGTAAATGAGGATTGCTGCCTGTTAAGCGAAATGCAACCCTGGAAGGATGCGCTTCTTGCCGTGTTTCGGTCTGTAGCGTCACGCGTCATCAGCGCTAAATGAGAATGTAATTAGGCTTCTACAAAGCTTCGTAAGTAGGCGGAAGATATTGCGAGCTTTATCGCCAAAGTCTACGACGGATGCGGCGTTTGGCAGTCCAGGCTGTCGTGGCGGAGTGGGCGTGGTAGATAGAATAAAGAATAGAAGAACTGCGCGTAGCGCGGTAACGTTTTAAGAAACTAGGCTAAGCACTATAGAGAGTGTGTGTACGACATAGTCGCTCTAATAGACTAGACTGAGCACTATCGCTCGTATACAGAGCATAAGAGCTTACGCTACAAATGGAACTACTCTCTTCGTGTTCTTCAAGGCCGGGTCTTGCAACTGGGGACTTTTTTCCAACCCGAGTAATTCCCTGATCGCATGAGTCTGATAGACCGTGCCGTTGCTCATAGAGTAGAAGATCGCATCGTCGTAAGAGGCAGTTAAATCACGCGTCGCAAGTACAGTGCGGCTACCATCTGCTAAGAGAAATTCGCGGCGGAGATGAGGAGGGAAGTAGTCGGCTGGGTCTGCCTTGTGTAGCCCCCATCCG